CAGAGATTTGGCCACAGGCCCTCAATGCTCTGACATGTAATAGCTTATATCCCCGACATGTATGATGTAGTTAGGATTGCACACATACAGGAACACAAAGCCACAAAGGTGCCAGTCCCCACTCTCCTCCCCTAATCCCCTTTGCCTCCGGGCTTGGGCCTTCCCCACACCAACTTCCCCTGACCTCACCCCACTGTGCAGGGAGTGGATGAATATTGCAAGATCTTTGGCGACGCTTCAGTAGCCAAATTTTCGCCTTCAGAAGATCTTGCCGACACATTTAGATTGAAATTCTTGCATTTAATATATTTCTCAGTCTTCGGCCAACTATTTAGAAAAAAGTAAGGTTTCCGGTGCGTTGGATGGAATACGATGCACCGAAGCTTGTCCGGAAATCAGTTGCGATGAGTTCCCGCAAAAAATGTAAACAATGTTTTTTCGATTGCATAGTTTCGGTCACATTAGAGTGGTCAGACTGCTTTATTACATGTTCAGTTGACACTTGCTGTACAATCGGACTGTTTTTAGGGTAAAATTAGTTATTTGGGTAACACGTGCATGCAACCTTGTAACTAAGTTCGTGGCTTGTAAATAGTTCGTCATTACTCAGCGTAAATGGCTTTTCATTAAAAATTACCCGGCGACGCATCTTTAAAATGGCCGGCGACGCTTTGGGCTTAAAAATCCATATATTGGCGACGCTGCATCCACCCTCTGCATAGTGGACCTCACCTCTGCCAGCTCTGTGTCCTTATAAAATGCCACTTGAGAGAAACTGTGGCAACTGTAACTCACCACCCTGGTCCACCCGGCCGTTGGGCCATATTGGGCTTTTCGTAAGATGCTCTTGACAAATGACAATCAATCAATCATAACAAACAAAAAAAATTTGTTGGCCATGTTTCCTCTTTCAACCAAGTTTTGCTTCATTAGCTTTCAAACTCAATGCTGTGCGGTATTATTGCAGATTAACTACATCAAAAAAAAAAGGGTGTTTTTTTTTTAATTATATGTTTTTTGGGGTGTAGATTACGAATCTGAAATCCATTTTTGGCGGTCGGCATCGGAAAACCGATTTTTTTTAAGTTACGTAACCCCCATGTTAGTAAATAAAGGTGAGTGGGTAACGTAAGTTACGTAACCCCCATGTTAGTAAGTCGCGAAAAAAATCGGTTTTCTGATGCCGACCGCCAAAAATGGATTTCAGATTCGTAATCTACACCCCAAAAAACATATAATTAAAAAGAAAAAAACACCCTTTTTTTGGATGTAGTTAATCTGCAATAATACCTGCTGTGCAGACAGTTTCCTTTGGTCCATAAATGGAAAGTGCTTAAGAAAGTCTTTGCTAATTTAGACTGTGCCTGGTATACAGCCCCTGAAATATGTGGTTTCAAGTTCATGCTCCTGGTGAATCCTAACTAGCAATGGAATGAGGCAATATCTGGGTATCTGCTTCTTGGTACTCATTCAGCTGTCAGCTTCATTTAGCTGTCAGCTCTCTGTGTTTTTGACTGAGAATTGTAGAATGGAAGCAAGTTAAGCTACTGGAAATATGTGGATTTTTGGGTGAATGCATGTCCATCTCAAGACTGTGATTGATGGTGATGTCATCCACACCAGAGTCCAGATTGTTATTGGTTGGTGGGGTTGTGATGTCATCCACTCCAGGCTGTTATTGGTTGGTGGGATTCAGGGATTGTGATGTCATCCACACCAGACTGTTATTGATTGGTGCAATTATGATGTCATCCACTTCAGGCTGTTATTGGTTGGTGGGATTGTAATGTCATCCACACCAGACTGTTATTGGTTAGTGCAATTATGATGTCATCCACTTCAGGCTGTTATTGGTTGGTGGGATTGTGATGTCATGACAGTGTGGAATCCTGGAGGGGTATTAAATTAACCTGTAGTACACCCAGCAAATTGGAAAGGCCATGACAAAACCAATCACAGTCTGTAGTGGATGACATCACAATACCACAACCAATAAAAGCCTGGAGTGGATGATATCACAATCCCATCAACCAGAAACAGCCTGGAGTATATGACATTGCAATTCCACCAACCAGTAACAGCCTGGAGTGGATAAAATCACAATCCCACCAGCCAATCAGTCTGGAGTGGATGACATCACAATCCTACCAACCAATCACAGTCTGGAAAGGATGACATCACAATCCCATCAAGAAATAACAGTCTGGAGTGGATGACATTGCAATTCTATCAACCAAAAACAGTCTGGAGTGGATGACATGTTGACTGATTATGAACTAAGGAGAAACTGATCATCAATGTCATCATATGCATCCCCTGCTTCTTGTCATTGCTTGAATGTCACTTGCAGCAATTGTAATTTGTCTGTGCCAGTAATTACATACAAGCCATATTAATTGTAATGCAAATGTGTATGCCAATCATGGCACTAGGCCAAACAATTGTAATGCACATATGTCTATGCCAATCAATGTGCATTGCCATTATGATTGTAAATTGCAATCTGTGGAGAAGCTTATTTGGTGACCATTCAGGGTGCTGAAAGTGTAAGAATATCTAAAGATCAGCATCAGCAGTGTGACATGCCTGAGTACACCTACAACAGGGAGCTGTCAGACTTCCACATTACAAAGGAGGCAGTGAGGAAGCAGTTGGCGAGCTTGAAAAAGGACAAAGCTCCAGGCCCTGATGACATCATCCTCCATCTGCTTGCTGAACTTGCTGAACCTCTTGCCAAGCCCATTGCCATCATCTTTAGGAAGTCCCTGGAGTCTGGCACCATAGCCGGAGACTGGAGAACCGCAGACGTGACCCCCATCTTCAAAAAGGGCAGTCGCCTTCTAGCCAGCAACTACAGGCCCGTCAGTTTGACCTGCATTTTATGCAAGTGCATGGAGGCCCTCGTCAGGGAGCAGATCGTTGACCAACTTCAGCGCAACAGCCTGATCAGCCGAAAGCAGCATGGCTTCACCAAGGGGCGGTCTTGTGTCACCCAGCTTCTTGAGACCCTAGACATCTGGACTGAGGCCCTAGACAAAGGAGGATCCATCAATGCGGTCTACTTGGACTACTTGAAAGCGTTTGACAGTGTGCCACACAGACAACTTGTAGCAAAGGTGGAGGCTCATGGCATCAAGGGGTGAGTACACCAGTGGGTCAGAGATTTTTTGGCAAACTGGACCCAGCAAGTCATTGTGAACGGCGTGTCAAGTCCAGCAGATGTACGGAGCGGTATTCCGCAGGGAAGCTGTTTAGGGCCCATTTGCTTTGTATTGTACATCAATAATCTACTGCGCCATGTCCAGAGCCACATCAAGCTCTTTGCAGATGATACCAAGGTCTTCGCCTGCAGTGACATCCCAGAGGCAAGAAAAACCCTGCAGGAGGACCTGGACAGACTCTACAAGTGTTCTATAGACTGGCAGCTGCGCTTCCACCCCGAAAAGTGCAACCTTTGAACCTGCTTTGCCTTGGATATGCCAGCCGCTAGCAACACCGTCCAGTACATCATGAGAGGCTGCAATGCTCAAGGCAAAGAGAATGTGATCCCACTGAAGGAAAGCAACACCAAAAAAGATCTGGGAGTAGTAATCAACAGGGACCTGAGCTTCAAAAGCCAAGTTGCGCAAGCAACAGCTAAGGCGAACAGAGTACTGGGTGTTATAAGGCAAACCTTCAACTTCATCACGCCTGAGATCTTCATCCAGCTCTACAAATCCCTTGTTTGACCAATGCTCAAGTATGGCCACTCAGTCTGGCAGCCAAGGCACAAGACTCTGTGCTCCAACCTGGAGGATGTTCGGAGGAGGGCAACCAAGCTTATCGCAAGCCTCAAGGACAAGCCATACCCAGAACGCCTTGCCTTGCTTGGTCTACCCAGCTTGGAGCACAGAAGACTAAGAGGAGACATGATCAATGCTTTCAAGTACGTCCACGGCGCCTATGAAGCTGACCGCCCCAGCTGCACCTTCACGACTGCAGAAATACCCGTGGGAACAGCCTGAAACTTGCCAAGGGCTGCTGCAGACTGAACATCAGAGCCCTTCAAGATCAGGCTTGACAAGCACTGGGCGACACGCAAAGAACTTTACGACCCCTAATGCTGTCATTAGCTCCCCTTTTGGCACTTCTGACTAACTGCTAGCCACGCATGCGACAAATAGTCAAGAAGCAATCTAACCAGGCCAAATAGTCAAGAAGCAACCCCCCAACCAGGCGTGGTGAACAGGCCGTAAGGCCTTTTACACTGAACTTGTCAAGTATCAATAAGTATCAAGTAGCAGAAAAATGTACATCTTCAGAAGATCTACCTTTAAATATTGATTTTCATATATTATTTAATTGTTGGCGATGATTACTACTGCACAAGCAGAACAAAAGAAGATACACTGGTGGCTGAGGTCCATTGCCATCCAAAGATTGTGATTTAGATTGATATGATTTGGTGATGCTTGATTATTGACACAGATATATGCACATAATGATTGCTGCAGGCAATGGATGTAAGCTATCCAAACGAGCAAGAGATACATGTGGTGATGGTTGAATACTACTGGCCACACCACAATGCATCCTGAATATTGATTGCGATGTTGTGACCTTAAAAACCACACCTTGGTGATGCATTTGCCAATGATTGCACCTTGGTGACTGCTGTTTGCTTTGATAAGGCCTCTGCATCTCTTTGGTGCAATGAATTTGGCATCAATATTGTGCCATACTTTACTGTCAAGGGCTGTTCCATAAATAGTAACTTTTATGGATTTTATAGTGACAATGGCCCTGGTGTGAATTTTTTTACAACTTTTGACAATTATAACGTAGTAGTAATGTAAAGTTCATCTGTAGATTCATTGAGAAAACATAATATGATCAGTTAATTTGCTAACAATTTTGGTTATCATCTGTGAATAGAAAACAAATATGAACTATGACCAATGTTGCTCTCATTAAATTTAAACTAAAATTTTAATATTGTTTTTTTTTTTTCTCAATGTGTTCTTTATTTTACTAGGTTTACTGTGTAATATGTCTTCCAGTTTGAGATTGTATGCATCAAGAGCAATTTTAAGGAGCATTCAGAGATGCTATCACAATGATACTGTCAACATCATTGGTACTTCACCAGATAAAAACTCTCCTGAATATCAGGTGAGAAACTGAGATGCAACCTCAAATGATGAATAATGCATAATTATCTGTGAAATTTGTTTACATTTTAGTAACTATGATCATCTAGTTTACTTTTTTATTTTTTATATGTAGGTATTTAGTTTGAAACTTTTTCACATTTTTCTTACTCTGAGATAGAGATAATATATTTTTTTAATTCTATTGATTCTGCCTGTTTATCATTTAAAGTAATTAAAATTTGTAATTGACCTGTACAATATCTCCCATAGTTCACTAAAGATACCCGTAAAATGGGGTGCCTTGAACAATTGACGGGGGTGACTTGGACCATTCTGACTGAGAAAAAAAAAATATTTTCTTGTTTGATCTAGAAAAATTGTGTTGATGACTCTTGAAATGCTGTGAGATAACCTACAAATGTAATGAAAAGATATATTTTATATATTTACTATGGGATTTTACCTTGATATATTATATGGTATACATTCATATATTTGCAGTTTTATTAATTGAAAGGTGATATATGCACAGTACTCTGCTCTTGGCATATTTAGGATCTTGTGCAATTAGGATTATTGGATTGTGATTTTGATTTGCTATGCTACCATCATATTGAGAAGATTTTTCTCAACAATACATACATATTATAAGGGCTGCTGATTCTCTATGCTTGTTTTCTGTTGCTGATTTCTTTGCTTTCCTCAGGACAATGCAGCACGGATGTCCAAGCTTGTATCAGAGTTACGGGATAAGGTAGCAAAGATTGCAGATGGGGGAGGAGAGAAGGCAGTTGCACGGCATGTCAGTAAAGGTTGGTAAAATTGTTGCCATCTATTGAAAAATCGTAATTAAATAAGTACCTAGTCTCCCTTGTAGAATAATAACCAATTTTCAATAAAAAAACATTGTATCTCCCTTACGTTAATTCTTTGGATTGCTCTTTTATTAATGATATGATTCCAATCCTGCCTGATGGCAGTTCCTCCATATGTTGAGCTTAACTCCTACATGTTAAATTGTGCTTTTCCTATTTATTATACTAAGTTCTAATAGATATATACCGTATCTCCACTGCAATATAATATACATATTAGGGTAGAGCTTGATGCTGTAGAAAACTCATTGAGTAATTTTACTGTTGTTGAGAGAACATATGAAATTGTTCCTCAACAACTTGTCTTCTAGACGGAATTCAAATTCCAATCTACTGCAAGTTGATAATGCTACTATTTTCCTTGTTTTATGTAAAGTAATGTTCTATGTGATCATTTAGTGCTTACAAATTCTTCCTTCCTCTCAAAGAAGGAATAAAGAAATCAAATGTAATTCTTTATCATTTTTCCTCTGCCTTGCTTGCAACATCACACATTCTCATATTTAAAAAATAACCTAAAGTCAATGAAAGCAAAGCTAATGACTGGCACTGCAAACAATTATAAAACCTTTGATTTTTGGTTTTGTTTGTTTTAGTTTGGAATTTCAGAATTAAAAGATGAGTATTATAACTGAAGCTTGAGCAGCAGAAAATTATTGTATGGAAGAGCAGATGCTTGAGGTGCAGATGTTCAGGTTTCCAGGAAGAAAATTTCTTACACACGCCACACATTTTAAATAATTTTTTTTCTGATCATGACACCGCCTATGACTAATTATCTAGGAAACGTCATGCATTGCCCTGCTAAGCACACATATTATTCTTCTGGAAGTAGCAGTGCTGAGAAAAACATAAATTAGAATTCATTATGCTCTTATTACAACACTTCTCTTTAACTTCACTTCTTGTTTGTCTGTCTGTCTGCTACAAATCTTGTAATCAAAATTTAATACACTTCTACTTATCCTATCGATCTGAAATTTTGCCCACTTGTGTAAAGTTGGAGACAATGCATGAATCAATTGTCAAAATAAATGATTTTAGGAATGAAAAAAATTTTTTTTTTTAATATTAAAAAAAATTGAAAAATAATTTTGTCAGCTACGGTGCAAATCTTATAACTGATATTTGATACACTTTTACCTGTCTAATTGATCTGAAATTTTGCATACTGGTGTGAAATCAGAAGCAATGCACGAATCAATTAACAGAATAAATAATTTTGAAAAAAAAATGTATAAAAAATTTATAGGTACCTATATATTTAAAAAATTGAAAAGGTAATTTTTTAATTTTTGAAAATTAGATGAGAAATTCATTGTACATCTGTAAGATTGGAGATACTGGATTCTTTGGAAGTGTTGTCTTTAAAAAGTAGTTTTTAAACATATATTATTTTTATTCACCTTTCAGCCGGCTCCATTTGATATGCTGTAAGCCACTTTCACAGGGAAAGAGATGCCTTCCTCCATCACACTACTTCTACTGTAGTTATTGCTTAATAATGGCACTGCCTCCAGCTGTCCAACCAGTATTTGAGATTATCATGCCGGAGCATAGCACTTATTTGTCACAGTCTCTAATGGCTCTGAAAAACAGAAGTCTCAACCTCGTCTGTTTCTGAGGGAAGCTTGGTAACTGTCAAAAGCTGAAACTCCTTTTCTAGAAAGTATCACTGGCTGGTGATTGACCTTCTCTTTGCAAATTAGGTCAGGTATAAGTTCCCTTGTCAAAGAGCAATAGGAAAACATTGCCCTACAACTCAGACATTATTCCTGCTTGTTTTTTCACTCAGTGTTTTATCTTTGTTAACAAATCCAATTTCTGTTGTTTAACAATGCGCGTTAGCCTTTGGAAGAAACTTATTGTTTGTATTAATTGAGAATTTATATCAATGCTGCTTGCTCAATTGTTTTGCTCATCATACACGTGTCTTCTGGTTCAATGTAAAGTTTTTATAGTCACTTGTACTCTACTTATCTCCTTGCTCTGCAAGTACGTCTAGTAAACATCAGATTATTTACTGTATAGCAGCGACAACACTACTACTGTAATGAAAAATTGGTATACATGTAAGCTGGTCAGGAACAATTGGTAATACCTTAGTATTTTTTTTTTTTTGCCTTGAAAGTGATGGAAATTATTTCCAGGTAAGCTGGTGGCCCGAGACAGGATAGACGTTTTATTGGACCCCAGCACTCCGTTCCTCGAGCTCTCCCAGCTTGCTGGCTATGACATGTACGGCAGCGAGGAGGTGCCAGCAGGCGGCATCATCACTGGCATTGGCAGGGTCAGAGGGTGAGGTGGCAGCGAGGCAAATCAATTAAATTAATGTTTGTGATTCAGGGCATGGCTTCAATTTTTGTTGCTAGTCTATAGCAAAATTCAAGTGCTTCCAGAAATTGTTCAGGATGCTATATTTTCATTTTTGTAAAAGAAAAGCAAATTAATATATAATTATGCAAATCAATTAAATCAATGTTTGTGATTCAGGGCATGGCTTAAGTTTTTGTTGCTTATGCTAGTCTATAGAAAAATTCAAGTGCTCCCAGAAATTATTCAGGTTGGCATATTTTCATTTTTGTAAATCAAAAGCAAATTAATATCAAATTCTACAAATAAAAATTGAAATGAATGTGATTGTGTGTGATTGGCTGCTTTATTTGCCTTCTTTGATTTCTCATATACAAGCAATAAAATGTAGATAATATTAGAATCATATCTGTCAATGTATGAACTAATGGTTTCATACACGGGTTGGTATTTTGAAATTTTCTAGGATTCATAAATCTAAAGCATCGAGCTAAAGCTAGCATTTAAAAACTTCCTTTTGATAGCATTAAGTAGCGCTGTCTGGCTTGAAGGTGCATAGCTGAATGAGATGGAGTGCACGGCACTAGTACGTTTACTACAAGTACAATAACTTATTCCAGAACCGCTATCAAAGTATGATAAAGTGCAATAAATGATTTTCTTCTGCTGATATTCTCATAAAATTGAAATTCTGTGCTGTTTTTGCTGCATGGAATTCTCCTAGTTTCAATCTTACCCAATTTGGGTACCAGACAATTTATGTAAAGTACTTAGAAATGTTTATATAAAGCCCCGTAAAACCAAGGATGTAAATTACGTGCCGTTGGTCTGAATCGCATCATTTTAACATCTCTTGTGAAATGTTCCTTTATCAACTCTTAGTTTTAATTTGCAGGAAAATCTGCAAGGGATTTTTACTTACTTAGTAAATTATTTCAGAGCTTCTATGGGGATTGTTAGCTGGTCGATTATTCTTGGATGTGCCAAAGATAACTTTGGCACAAAGTTATCAAGATAACAACATCAAGATAACAAAGATCCTTTTGTTGATCTTAGGCTTGACTATCAAAATTTATAATATTAGGCTATAAATCGTACTGTGGAACTGGTAGTTAACTTTAATTGTAATTTGTTGATTGCAGAATACGCAATAATTATGATGTTTGCTCCCTGACTTCTAAAAAAAACTTTTATGGGTTTTAGGACTAACTGCTTCAGCTTCTGTTCATTTTGATTAAATATGATCCAAACAGCAATTTAGCTTTTGAATTTGCTTCACTTTCCTTTCATGAATCAAGAATTATTACATAAATGTGTTTGTCTGCGCTCGCGATTCCTCAAATTTATATATTTTTTATAGAAGCAATATTCTGAAGTTTCTACGCTAGTAATTTGAGGTTGATAGTTTAAAATTTTTTTCTTGCACTCAATCATACTTTGACTTCACTTCTGAAATTATTTCCAAAAGATTACAAATCTTTCTCATGAAGAAGTAGAGAAGTTTATGGTATTTGAAACCTGTTTGAATGCCCACCTCATTAATCTTGTATGCCTTCATAACAAGCAGGACGCCATGATGGTGTCTGGAAAAGGTTTTGTTCATTTTAAGCTACAACCCCTGGTTACTGAAGATTTGAAATCCTGGCTCGTTATCAATCAGAAAATTAGCTTGAAAAATCCTAATTTAGCTCTCATCTGCTTTGGATTGCTGATAGATTGCTTATGTTATTTTTGCTGCTGTTATGTTATGTTGTAATGTCTACCGTGCAAGTCTTGGTATGCCAATCAACTTTATTTGAATTTTCGAGGTGTTAATAGAGGTTATATTTTTATTGTGCTTATGTTATGTATCATTGCTATTTTTTACTGTTTAATTGTAGGTTATTGATTCTTGGTTCTTAATAGTTGCTAAATATTTAACTTGCCTCTTTTGATATCTTTTAAAGGGTGTAAATGCAGATAAACATCTAACTAGAATCGTGCTTTGTGCACTTAATGTATGTTCTATTCTAATAGAAAGTGAGAAGCTTAAACCCCATTTCCATCAATTTGATCCACCGTTTGGGGGCAAATAATGTGCGTGTGTGAGGCTGAAGAAGGCGTGAGTGCTTCAGTGCTCTAATGCTCATGTCTCCGTGTGTGCTGCCCGCTATTGATATTGAAAAATGTCTTGTGAATTTGAGAGAAAGCTGCCTTGCAATATGAATTTACCTGATAGCATATGGAAAAAATCATGTTTTAAATAGTAAGTTTTTATGTTCAGGACTGAGTGCGTGATCGTAGCCAACGACGCGACAGTGAAGGGCGGCAGCTACTACCCCATCACCGTCAAGAAGCACCTCAGGGCCCAGGAAATAGCATTAGAGAATAACCTGCCCTGCATTTACCTGGTGGACTCTGGCGGGGCTAATCTCCCCAGACAGGCCGAGGTGTTCCCTGACAGGGACCATTTCGGCAGGATATTCTTCAACCAAGCCACCATGTCGGCTAAGGGAATTGCTCAGGTCAATTGCCTTTATTTGAGTAATGTTTACCAATTAGCTTAGCTCATTTTTAGCGCATTTTCTCATTTATGGAAAAAATGCACTATTGTGCTCGCCATGTCCGTCTGTCTGTCTGTCTGTCTGTCCGTCCGTCCGTCTGTCTGTCTGTCTGTCTGTCTGTCTGTCTGTCCGTCCGTCCGTCTGTCTGTCTGTCTGTCTGTCTGTCCGTCCGTCCGTCTNGGTAGTGTCACAAGTGTCGTGATGGCTGTGATGACTAACGTGTCACAAGTGCCGTGATGGCTGTGGTGTTCAGATCGCTGTGGTGCTGGGGTCGTGCACGGCGGGAGGCGCGTATGTGCCCGCCATGTCGGACGAGTCCATCATCGTGCGGCGGCAGGGCACCATCTTCCTGGCGGGGCCGCCGCTCGTGGCCGCCGCCACCGGCGAGCAGATCTCGGCCGAGGACCTCGGCGGGGCAGACCTCCACTGCAGGTCTGGGCCGCCGAGTGTACAGATGTCGAGATGGTTAAATGCTTATAATGTCACTCGTTTGCTTGAATCGCAAATTCACTAAGAACTTAAAAGCAAAGAAAACTCCACAGAAATTCATAGTATCTTCAAAGAAAACGTTTCGGAGTCCAGCTCCATCGTCAGTTTGAAAATTCTAGAACACAGATAAATCAGTAATTAGTTGAGTCAACATTAAAACAAAAAACCTAAGCTGTAAAAACCTACATTTTTACAATTTCAAGCCGGTAAGAGCTAAAAGCTAAATTCAAATTAGGCCTCTTTTTAAAAATATGCAATGATTCTAAAATGCGCAAATCAGAAATACTGGAACTAGAAGCTAAAACTTTGAAGTCACTGTCAGAAACTGGAACATCGCACTGCTCGGCGTGAGCCCGCACAGCCAAATGAAGGGGGCGGCCCCCTCATGGATCTGGACTCTGAACCATTTTTTTACAGATACTATGAATTTTTGTGGAGTTTTCTTTATTTTTAAGTCGTTAGTAAGTTAAATGCTACCGTATTTTATTACATTCTACATGTTGAGGAGGTTAAATGCTATTTTATTCTATACTACATGTTGAGAAAGTTGAATGTTTTTTTTATTCTGTTCTACATCTTGAGAAAGTTAGATATTATTTTATTCTCTTCTACATGTTGCGAAAGTTAGTTATTATTTTATTCTGTACTATATGTTGAGACAGTTAAATGCTACTTTATTCTATTCCACATGTTGAGAAGGTTAAATGCTATTTTATTTTCTTCTACATCTTGAGAAATTTAGATATTATTTTATTCTCTTCTACATGTTGCGAAAGTTAGTTATTATTTTATTCTGTTCTATTTGATAAGAAAATCAAATGTCTTGCTGCAAGATATATGGTGCAATAAATGTTAGTGGAGCTTCGGCTAGCACGGCGGATTGATTGATAATTAGTTTTGTTCAGGACGTCAGGCGTGACTGACCACTACGCCGTGGACGACACGCACGCCCTGCACCTGGCGAGGCGGGTCGTGGGCACCCTCAACAGGAACACCGCCCTGCAGGTAACGCTACAGCTCCTTAGTCTTGCTAACCAGAGGCCATACTTTCAAAACTCGCTAAGTGAACGTAAGTACTTACGCCCTATTTTCTTGTCTATGATTGGTGGATTTTGCTTGAAAGGCCGTCAATGATTGGCTGATGAACTTACGATCTCTTTACTTTTTTGACGGTATAGGCCCAGGGCTCATACTTTCAAAAAAAGTTAACAGATCGTAAGTTCATCAGCTAATCATTGACGGCCTTTCAAGCAAAATCCACCAATTATAGACAAGAAAATAGAGCGTAAGTACTTACGTTCACTTTGAGTTTTGAAGGTATGGCTCCAGGCCGTAGTTTGTTGTTCTTACTGCAACTGTAGGATAACTTAGCCTTGCTTACCAGGCCGTAGTTTGCTGTTCTTACCGCAACTGTAGGATAACTTAGCCTTGCTATCCAGGCCGTAGTTTGTTGTTCTTACCGCAACTGAAGGATAACTTAGCCTTGCTTACCAGGCCGTAGTTTGCTGTATTTTCTCCAATTGTTGAACATTTTTGCTGTCACGAGCTCCTAATCTCGGAAGACAAGAAATTCCTACGCTCAGTTTTGTATAGAGCAAGTCCCGAGTACAGAAAAGAAATGACGAAATACCTCTGTTTGAAAACTGGTGCTGTGGTTCAGAATCCTAATTGCGGTATTGTCTCCTTCAATTTAAAACAAAACGGGATCTTCCATCATTAGTATGCTTTAAAAGCTAGCACAAGAAAATTTTAACAGTAAACACGCTGCATATTGATTTGCATAGCGTAAAATATCTTCATGAAAACGTTTCGTTGACGAGCTCCACCATCAGGTTAAGATATTTTCTTTAATTCAAGTACAATCAACAGTGATAATCTGAATAAACACGAAACAACGGCGTCCTCTTCTCGAAGTATGCGCTCAATAGCACGCACTTTACACAGCTCTACTGCCAACCCAACATCTCACTCATATTTCTACCAAATATTTTTCGTGGATATTCTTATTTTCGCTGCTGAGTTTTTGGACTGATTCTGGAAACGTTTACACGATATGGTGAATTTTCGTAGCATTTTCTTTGTTTTTTAAATTCTTGGAGAACGGTGGCTTTTGTATTGAATACTTGCATTCTTGAACAGTGATGAAACTCAGTTTGGATTCTAGAGTAGTGTGATTGACATCAAGTAGTTGAGCAGATCAATTAACCTTTAATCAGATTTCATTGGTTTAATGTTTAATATTTTATTGGTGTCCTGTGTGAATTAAAATGTAAAAACGACGTCGTCCACGGTGAAGCACATCAATGTATGCTGAAATTAACTTAATTATAAAATAAGTAATGATAATGGCCTGTCCTTGCTACCATCATTGAATGTCTTTTATAATTCCAGCCGCCGGTGGCTGTAGAGGAGCCGGTGCACGCAGCAGAGGAGCTCTACGGCATCATCGGGGACAACCTCAAGAAAGTCTTCGACGTGAGGGAGGTCATCGCAAGGGTCTTGGATGGCTCGCAGTTTGACGAGTTTAAAGTGAGCGAGTTATTGTTCTCTTTTTCATAATAGGATTCGAGGAGATATCAGACGAGTAAATAGTGAGCGAGTTATTGTTCTCTTTTTTATAATAGGATTCGAGGAGATATCAGACAAGTAAATCCAATCAGTGGTAGGCTTTTCAGTTTATTGTTCACCATATCAATTACATAGAAAGACATAAATTATTACTATTCAGTCCGAGTAATGTAAGTCGTTTCTCTGAGCCACTGTTGCAGAAGCGCTGGGTAAAGATCTTGTATGTTAAGATGGCATAAAACCTTGTTTATTACTTCACTAATCTACTTGTTACCTTGACCGTTGGTACTGTGCTCACACGCTGCTTGTCGTGCCAACGCGTCGTGCTAATGCTTCTTATATGCGCTTAGCAAATGTAGGGGGACTGGAATCTAATATAATACACTGATAAATACACTAATGAAATATACGGATAAAATATACTAATGAAATACACTAATGAAATACCCTAGTAAAATACACTAATAAAATATAAAAAAAAACACTCAGGAAATGTATTGGGAGAGCAATCTAATATAATACCTACACTAATAAAATACATTGATAAAATGCACTAATGAAGTTTACTGATAAAATCCCCTAGGAAAATACTCTAATAAGATATAAAATGCACGCAGCAAATGTACGGGGAGACGCTGGTGTGCGGGTTCGGGCGGCTGTTCGGTCACCGCGTGGGGGTGGTCGGCAACAACGGCGTCCTCTTCTCAGAGTCTGCACTCAAAGGCACACACTTCATCCAGCTCTGCTGCCAGCGCAACATCCCTCTCATATTCCTACAAAATATCACAGGTTCATATACTATTTTCAAACGTGTTATTATTTCATTTAGCCTTTTGATTTTTTTTTAACATTTATTATTGATGTGTCAGTCGACATTACTCGTCAAATGTTTCCCAATGTGAGATTTTTTGAGGTAATTTCTCAGTATTTAAGAGTGCAGGATTTCCAACATTAATAATGATTATGTTTTCTCATTATATTTTTGTAGCTAGATACGTAGTAGCATAAAGACCCTGCTGTGCTGTGCACCAATAGCCGTCATGGTGCTGTGCACCAATAACCGTCATGGTATTGTGCACCAATAACCGTTATGTTACTATGCACCAATAACCGTTATGTTACTATGCACCAATAACCGTTATGTTACTAAGCACCAATAACCGCGCAGGGTTCATGGTGGGGCGGGACGCGGAGGCGGGCGGCATCGCTAAGAACGGAGCCAAGATGGTGACGGCCGTGTCCTGCGCCAAGGTGCCTAAGCTGACCGTCATCATCGGAGGGTCATACGGCGCCGGCAACTACGGCATGTGTGGCCGTGCTTACGGGTCAGCCTAACTTAACCTAGCCTAACCTAACATAACCTAACCTAACCTAACATAACCTAGCTTAAACTAACCTAATCTAGCCTAATATAACCTAACCTAACCTTAAGGTTCAACATTTGATGGCGGCCGCTGCCTTTACTTGAGTCAACCGTGATGTTCGGCTCGTTACAGAATTTTTCGCTACTTTAGTTCAATCCCCGGTCACAATCCATCATTTTAGTAGCTGATGTGGAGCTATTTGGAAGTCTGGAGATGGTTAACTGGTTCAATGTTTCAAATTTTAAAAAATGTTATGAGAGAATTAAAATATGGAATTTTATTCGAGACATTTAGTGCATGATTACCATCAAAGCTACATTATTATATCGACGGCTATCTCTGACGCAACTCTGTCTCTTTCCTCGCCTGTAGATATTTCCCTCACCACGTTCATGTTCTCTCAACACCTGATATAGGACTTGCATCCACTGTATGTTAACATGTCATAAAACCTTGTTTATTATTTCATTAATCAACTTGTTACCGTAGCATTGCGTAGTAAGCGATCTCAAAGCTATAACCGAGCAAACAGTTTCCAAATCTTCTCTTCCTCCACATTTGTTGATTTTTCTAATATAAGTTATTATCTGGTTTGCACATGTTGACTGCGCCTGGTATTCATATGCCTTCCCTGCAATTGAATTTGTTCCTCGATTCAAATTTATATGTTTCGACATTATTTGTTGAATATAATTGTGCCAAGATGTAATATATTATTTCCAGTAAGTAAGCCTTATGTGAGCAGGCCGCGCTTCCTGTTCATGTGGCCGAACGCGCGCATCAGCGTGATGGGGGGCGAGCAGGCGGCGGGGGTCCTGGCGCAGATCACGCGTGACCAGCGCCTCAGGGAGGGCAAGCAGGTCACCACTTCTTACAACTGTCCTTAATGCTTGTTCTTAGTGGGTCTATTAGTAGTGATGGGTCTGCTGGCCCTGGCAGGTCTGTTGGCCCTGACAGGTCTGTTGGCTCTGGCAGGTCTGTTGGCCCTGGCAGGTCTGTTGGCCCTGGCAGGTCTGTTGGCCCTGGCAGGTCTGTTGGCCCTGGCAGGTCTGTTGGCCCTGGCAGGTCTGTTGGACCTGGCAGGTCTGTTGGACCTGGCAGGTCTATTGGCCCTGGCAGGTCTATTGGCCCTGGCAGGTCTATTGGCCCCTGGCAGGCCTATTGGTCCTGGCAGGACTGTTAGCCAAAGCACGTTTTTCGGTCTTGTTAAGGCTTCTGGCTCTGACAGGTCTCCCGACCAAGATGTACCTATTTTGTTCGGTTATCCCAATACAAGAACAATGAATGGCTTTATTAAATTTATGTTTATGCATCGCTACTCTGAGAACTAACTCCGTTATTATTTAGTATAAAGATGAGATTAATTTGGCACACTTATAAATTTGATGTGTATCTCTGTCATCCAAAGTGGTGCTGTCAATAAACGCTTGATCCTCAAATTATTAAAAAATTAATAAATATAAATTATTCATGACCTAGTTCAGACTCAGCTGATTTTGAATGAGTCAGAACCTTTTAATTTCTAATTTCTTGCTCTGTGCTCTAAGTCGATATATTTTTGGTCCAGTATCTTAGGTGTTCTGACTGAGAATTTTCAAACTCAATTTGCAGTTCAGCGCCGAAGAAGAAGCGGCGCTGAAGGCTCCCATCATCGAGCGGTTTGAGCACGAGGGCTCGCCGTACTACTCGAGCGCCCGCCTGTGGGACGACGGCGTCATCGATCCCGCGGACACGCGTCCCGTGCTGGGCATGGCGCTCTGTGCCGCCCTCAACGCCCCCCTGCCGCCCACGCGCTACGGCGTCTTCAGGATGTAATGGCGCCCTCAACGCCCCCCTGCCGCCGACGCGCTACGGCGTCTTCAGGATGTAACGGCGCCCGCAACGCCCCCCTGCCGCCCACGCGCTACGGCGTCTTCAGGATGTAACGTCGCCCTCAACGCCCCCCTGCCGCCCACGCGCTACGGCGTCTTCAGGATGTAACGGCGCCCTCAACGCCCCCCTGCCGCCCACGCGCTTCTACATCTTCAGGATGTAGAAGCCCTAATTGTAGCTCCGGAAATTTGCCGACTGGACTCGCACTTCACTGCCGCAAGCAAATAAATTTTAGTAATTTACATGCGTTGAATGTCGGAAAAAAGTTTGGCAATGCCATATGGTTATAAATTATTTTTATTTTATATTTTAAGGAATATTTATGTTCATGTTTACGTTTCTGATCATACTAAATTTTATGCTGTTCCATAGGCTAGTCAAGTGTGTTGTCTTCTATGGGGAACCTCTCTCTGCCCAAGTCGTTTTCCGTGGTTTGAATCCATCCTACTGATAGAATATCGTTCCCTTTATGTTCGTGCAAGTTGACTCTATGGATTCAATTGTTATTTTATGCATTTAATAATTAAATGGACCTGTGAAATTTTCAAATAACCACAAGGATGGCACGCCTCGCGCAGCTCTGAGACCACAGCTTGTTTGCAAGTATGGCGAGGAAGACATGACATACTTCTTAACTTGTACAATAATTGTGAATAGCTCGTGCTTCGATTTTAGTAAAGCTTCTGTGATAGAATTTAGTAGGCATGTTTGTATAATGTTGAAACTAATAAAAATGTAATTAATCATTAAAATTGAATTTTTCTGTGTAAAGTGTCTTTTATTGGAGAACGAGAAAACTAACCTGGCGTTGCCTGGCATTGTGTGAGAGGTTTACCTGGCGTTGGCCTGGTGTGAATTTACTCGTAGCTTGAATAACGGAACAATTTATGAGTGGCACTCGGAGCTGCTGTGGCCCGAGCGTTATACCCGAACTGGGCAGTCAGAGATGAAGTGATTGTAAAGTGCAGGGGATATAACATATCCCTTCACGTGGACTGATTTAAAGAGATATTAGGTTCTGAGGTAGAGGCAGGACACCAGTCTGCCTCAAAGGCAACAGCTAAACCAGCGTAAAGTTAGGGGTGGAGGTCGAATGCTGTTATGTGCGTGGCAGACGCTGCTGAATGCATTCGAGAGGTCAATGGTGGCTGTCGCCGTACTTTGAAGCCCGTCTTGATTTGAAGTGCTAGCGGGTAACGAGCTGTGGCTGTGAAGTGATGCGTTTTGAAGCCATGCTCTGACGGAGTGGCGGCGATGGATACTACTAGGTACGGAAGTAGCCGCTTTAAGATTTTATTTGCTAAAAAAGAAAAAAATAGTGTAACGTGATGGGTTTCTACGCTTCGCGATGGGAATGATTGATAATTGAATTTTTGTAAGTGACCGGGATAAAGGATGCGGATATCGTTGGAAAGGTGAGGAAGATACTGAAGACCTCGGGGGCTCATGGTGCACTGTTAGGCCTTGGGCGGAGGATGTTCAGGGTACGTCGAAGGCGAGCTTCAACTGATTAACAGAAAAATGGAGGAAGACGCTTTCCATAGGCACCCAGATCGAATGCGGCTCACGCTACGGCGGATAGTGAGCGGGGGGGGGGNGGGGGGGGGGGGGAGAACGAAAACAGAAACTGCTCGAAGAATGTGGTGGCGGTCTTGCAATAGTCAGTCATGAAAATATCCGGTCAAATGAAACGATATTAGATCTTCTGTGAACGAGGCACGAAAAGGAACAGAATCGGCGACAGGCCACATCAGGCCTGCACTTCAGCGCCGAGATCAATATGCTATGAATGTTATGATAGAGAGTGAAATTTAACTATGGCTTGGTTAGGAGTTGGTCAAAAGCGCGTTCCGGCAAGCGAGCCGAGAAAGATCCAATGCTCTGATGGGTGCATGCGTTTGTTTCATGACTTAGGTGGGTCTGCCTGGTCCCTAATGATTTTAGATTTGCCACCCACCACGGATCTTCTTCCATGGATTTTACTCGCTCAGGTTATTCAACTCAACTTCCCGGATCACCAGTCTCAAGAGGTGGATGAAGCGCTGCCGTGGGTCTTCCGTGAAATTTGTGCCAGACGCTTGCCAGGATACTGCCTCATATATACGGATGGCTCAGTAAGACCACCTCAATCTGAGGGTACTGGATTAGCTATCCCATATCTATCCCGCCTCGATTTTAGCCACTCAATCATCCCTGCAGAGTTTTATGGCATACTAAAAGCGATGAAATAAATATTGGGCAACCGCATGCTACCAGCAGTCATTTGTACAGTCTATAATTTCAACAACTCATCCTGCAACCATTCCACAAGAATTACTCACACCTCACTGCAGCTATTCACCATCATCTTCTTCAACTTCCGAGGAGAGAAATGCATTTCCAGTGGATCCCAAGTCCCTCGGGCATACAGAGCAATGAGGAAGCCGACAGAATTGCAAATCCGGCTGCGACGGCTGATGACCTACTGGCAGATATACCATTTGAATTATCTGAGCTTAACTCTATTGTACAAAAGAAATCTGGTAATTTTGGCAAGCCAAGTGGACATCAGTTCGTGGCCTACTCGCCCTGGGAAAAAGCAAATTATCAGTTCGATCATGGTCTATCCGCAAGATACAAACACGCCGATTTGTGACACTCTTTACTCGGCTTAGCCATAGCACTTATCCACTGAACAATGAAGGACCTTTACCAAATCCGTCAAGCCCCCTCACCACAGTGCCTATCGTCACGGGGCTCCTCGTGCGCGATGCCTTTGCACCAGGACCTTGTGCAATGGCCAGGAAACCTGGCATCGCTACCTCATCTCTTACAAGAAATTTGAAGAAGCCCGTGCTCTGCTGCGTCGACGAGTAAACTCGCATGAAGTCCTTGCTCTCAGTGCTGCTTTACTGTTGGGAGGTGACATCTCCAACTTCCCTGCCTGGCCTCACATCTGTAAATACGAATATTACATTGGCTGATTGGCAAAACTATTCGCTTCCCGTCTCAAGACATAATAAAGAATCAGCTTACTTCCAGAATCGTGGAACACGCCGTCAACCCGTCTAAGAACAGAACAAATAATTTTCTACCTCTAATAATTTTTTTCTCTGTCCTCGTGCAATATTGATTGATGCTGTTTAATTTTCATTTAAATTCAGAAAGTGAATTACGGGTAAATTAAAGAAAATTGTTCACGAATGTCACTTGCATGAATGACTTTCGGCCAAATTGTCTCAATCAAATGATCAACTGAATTCTTCTATTTTTTCACAATATATTTTATAAAGAAGCATGAATTTTTTCAACAAAATTAGCTTGTTATTAGAATAGGAACTATTAAATTTTAAAATTTATCTGATCACAAATTTTAGCATCGCAGAGATCTGTGAATTTTATACTTTGGCAGCAGGTGCCATAGTTATTTCCAGTCAGCCGGGGCCAAGTGTTGGAGTACGGTAGTTGTAAATTTTGAATAATATTCACGATGCTTGCCAGTCGACTAGCCGTTGTAAGAAGGAATTTAATGACATCTGCAATTAGAATGGATGATCCTGGTGGCATCCCCGGTGCTGTAAGTAATTTTGCCAATATCTTGTCTCAACACACGAAACTTTATTTAAATTGAGGTTTTATTTACGGTACTTATTATTTATTATTTTACATAGTGAGTAGGTAGTGTGTAGACTGTAGTGACCACTGTTGACTGTTCAGTCACTTCAGAAGTTCAGAGAGTCAAAGGCAGCTAGGTGCCATGCTAGCAGTTATTTTTTCATTAAATATTATGGTCAAATTTGGATCGGCCAATTGTTTTCTTTGCTGCTTGTGCCTTGTGCTACTTTATTCATTTTGTAAGTATCAATTTTGTTTCCTTCAAGCTTCAATCATGAATTCATGATAAAAATTAGTTATTAGGATACTGACATCTGACAATCATAGTGGCAAAGCAGAGAGTTTTTTTTAGACTCTGTCTCAAGTTCATTTTTGAGTCCTATAAGTAGACCAGTAAAGTATCATGGATACCAGCATTATCAATTTATCATACTTGAGAAATTGGTTAAAATCTTGAGTAAATGAGGAAATTAAAAATGAACTGATTCTAAAAAATCTCTGGTTTGTCACTATGCTGACAATCAGGGACTGTTTTGAGCATTTTTCCTTCTAACCATGAAACATTTCATAAACTATTTCGGGCTCATTTCAAAGGTCTTTGCAAGGGCTATTGTATGGCATTCTACAAAAAATTCCATATGCCAATTGTTAGGAACTTAGGTGCCACTGTTCCAGACACAAAATAAAAGCCTAAATTACCCCTGGAAATGGGTCAATAAGCCTAAGGGACACTTGGAATAAAACCTAATTTAAAAATATTTAAAGCATGCAGAGTGAATTCCTCCATTACTAACAGTACTCTGAACTTCTGAAGTCCTCCTCTTCCTTTGTAAAATGTAAATAATGTAGATGTAGAATAAATTACATTTTCTGTACTTTTCACATGTTTTTCCTTTATTGAAAATTATTTTTATTTGAAATATTACCATATAGGTACATACATTACCGTATTATTGATGTGATACCTATTACCAAATTTACCATATCCATGCCATGGTCTAGAATATGTGAATAATGTGCCAGGTGCATGGGCATTTTTGTCATTTTATCAATCTACTCCGTGCACCGTAATATGCCAGTAAAAAAATGCGCCGTGTTCCTAAGTCCTAAAGTTGTTTAAAGATAAATGCACGGCAATGCTATAACACACAAACGAATATCTGCATCAAGTTGACTAGATTTTTAACATGTCAAGTTATTGTCAACTCAGGTTCTATGAGTCGGCACAGTTATGAATATTTATTCATTATTCATAGATCACAATTCAGTTGGAAATGAATTACAAAACTGAATACGGGAGAATAGTAGAAGCTAGAAGGCAACAATCCACATGGCTTGAGATTGGTGCTTTCTAATAAAGGACTGACTTTGGCAAATAGTACAAAACTGTATGTCAATGTCAGGAATACATTACAGCAATCCCTTGATTAACGCGGTTAGTAAATCCTCGAGTTTTACCGTGTTAAGCAAAACCGCGCTAATCAAACTTAAGAATATATGGGAATAATTATAATGAATCCTCAAAAATATCAAAGGAAAGGAAAATTATGTAGTTTTATAAAAGTGAGCAGTAGATATGGCAGCGATCTTGACCAGTTGAAGGCTAACGAGTAACTAGCCCTTTACGCACTGAATTATGTTTCGAAAGTGAAAAAACAATCTGAATTACTTTTCAGATCACGCGCAGTCTTTGTGTTGTACTGGCAGTAGCGGCGCGCCTACTCCATCGAACGTTGTTCGAACGAGTTCACAACATGTGACGCTACCGTCACACTCGCGGCTAGACTCCAAACATGTAATTACTCTCGGTAGAAGCTTTTATTTTCTGTGTGACGAATTCGTCACACCAGGGCTTGAAGGGCTAGAGCACCGGCATGGCGCACTTACCGGCGAACGTTGCCGAACTCGATCATTCGAGTTATGAACGAGACAGGGCGTGGTTAAACCGACTCTGTAGTCAGCACGAGTGCCTATGGAATAGGACCTTATTTAAAGAATTATTGACTGAAATTCATAAAGTAACAACATTTGGCCAATTTTTCCAAAATTCCTAACAAAAGTAACAACATAAGATCTAATAAGCAAAAAGTAACACTTTTGTTACGATCGTAACACCTCTGGCTAGAGGCGGGAAAATGATGCGTTGTGAAAAAAAAGTCGCGCTAATCAAAACTGGC